TTACTCTCACGAATTCTGCTGCAATCGGCGCAATCTTGTATTCTATCATTCTTGATTAAGCACTGCTAATACAGATAAGCTTTCTTTCAACACATGGTTTAGTTATAGTTACCAAATCTTAGTTGAGGCAACCACGATTTGTTTTGAGATCGGAACATATTCATGCTTGTGAGCCACCCCTAAGTAATGCTCAGCGCTCTCTGAGCACATGTGTGTTTTACATACGAAGAGCGCCAGCTACGCAATGAATACAGTTCCACTTATTGAATCGTTTGAATGCGCCAGTATGCCGACCAGCGTTGCCATTTTAGCCGTTTTCCGGCTAGATTTAGCCGGTTTTGATAGCAACTAGCCGGAGAAAATTCGATCTAGCCGGCAGCCGATTTGTTAGCCGGTTTGTAAAAAAAAGTTAGCCGATTTTACTATTTGCCTAATTTTCAGGTGCAAAAAGTAAACTAGTTGTTCGAAAGCAATAATGCAGACCCAATGAAGATTTTTAATGAACTCAATGTTTTACTTTCGCATCTATGCTCACTAGTGGTTATTAGCGCGGACACATTTGATCCTATATGCTCCCCGTTGGAACCATACCTTGCTCCATTTCCTCAGTTTTATCACATTTTTGAAGAGTATTTAAAAACCAAAGTAAGCACAAAAGCTTTTGACCACGAAGCCGAGAAAATAATTCGAGAAAATGGTCGCTATTTTATTATCACTTTAATAAAGGAATTACGCCAACGCCTCCCTACAAATATTGCCACACTAAAAAATTGACTTTTTTCAGTTGGAAATGCATTAAGAGTAATTAAACCAAAAGTATTTGTTCAACTACAGCAACAAAAACACAAATATAATGCCGACGAAATAACATCCATAGAGATGCAATGGCGACGATTAACGTTACATACCTGGAGTAATTTAGACTCAACTGTAAAATTTTGGGCCGAAGTTTATCAATTTCGAAATGCCCTAGGAGAAAACCCTTTCGCTAACCTTTGCAACCTAGTTTTTAGTTTGCCTATAAGTAATGCAGAAGTAGAGCGAATATTTAGTTCAATGAATATAATAAAAACTAAGCAAAGAAATCCAATGTGCGTTAAAACGTTAAACGCAATTTTATATATAAGATACGGTTTAAAACGCGAAGAAAAATGCTGCCATAGTTTTACTGTAGATGACGATCTCTTAAAATTAATGAATTCAGGTGATATATACAATAGTGATTCATTTGATGATGAGGAATATACACTCGATATAAATTAATGGTGTTAACTAGTCTTTCGTTTCTTGCGATTTATTTAAATAAAGCATGTGAATTTTCACTAAAACATTTTAGCCGTTTTTTGCCAGAGTCTATGTGAAATTTCACTAAAACATTTTAGCCATTTTTAGCCGCTTTTTTTTGCCAATCTAGCCGGTCGGCCCAAAAAGTTCTGGCAACACTGATGCCGACCATTGCATAAAATTTTTATGATAAAAACGATTCAATGAATGAGACTAAGTGCATGGAAATCATTGCTCCGCTACCGCTGTTCATATATGGGTGAAACACAACCCAGTAAGAACACTATCTGTTAACTAATGCGTTATATACGCTTAGTACTACAAAAAGTTTGTGTGAAAAATTTAAAAACTTTCCATCATTTTACATAGGGCTCCTGGAGAAACCTCACGCATTCAGTGCTGTGCATGTGAGCATTTTTCCCTTTCTTGCGCACCACTTTTTACTATGGTATTTTCGTATTGCTATCTCATTCCAATCTGCTATAGCAAAGCCATGATTCAATAATACAAGGTTCGATAAACTGACAGTTGTCTCTCTCGCACCGCTCCCTTAGCAGTGGCACCGTGTTGCTTCTTTGCACATTTACATGGAAACAGTGTAGCTTTGGTGTGATATAGAAGTATGAGCGTTTGTGCAATATGTTTATTTGTATATGCATATGAAGCATATTTAACTGATGAAAACATAAACTGTTTTTAAATGGGATGTTTACATCAATCTCATAGTAGTCTTATTTTAATTTTGAGTCATTTTGCATTTTTTATACAGCTAAATAGCACATAAATTACGTAATTTACATAGATACGTCAATATTACGTTCAAAATTTCGTTTAAAATGCCAGATTTCCTGCAAAAACATTAGAATTTACAAAAGGAATTTCACTACTAATTGCCTACTTTGCGTACTTTTCTACTACCATTTTCGCACCAAGAGATTTCATTCCTCCCCTTTTCTCCGTCCTTCGTAAATGCAACCTTTTGTAAGGGAGTGTCAAACCGCAGCTGTCAATAATTATCTAACCTTGTATTATTGAATCATGTAGCAAAGCGATATAAAACATGTTATTTACGGGAAGAAATTCCGTATTAGTATGGCATAATAATAACGTGTAAATAATATGTTTTATCCATTATACTGAAAAGCTATTATATTGCATAAATAAAAACACGGTTAAATATTTTAAAATAGATTTAAATAGTTTAATTAATTGAAGTTCAAAGGCTTTGTTAAACATTTAAACTTATAATTGAATTGTGTTATAAATTATTGGATGAAAATGAAATTTTGGGTTTATATCCCAACAAGCAAACTAAACTAAAAAGTATTATTTTTGCAAGTTTACTAAAATAAACATAAAGCTTAAGCAGCAATCACCTAATGTAAGATTTTCTAAGCGATTAAACTCTTTAAGCGATATTGAATCGCTTACAAAATCGCCTCACGTAAATGCTGCTTTACAAAACGATTATTCTTGGTTTTTAAAACGCATAAAAAAAGCGTAATATAATCGAAACGGCACCTTCTTTATAAGCGCGTGAATATAAATTTATAATAGATTAAATAAAAGTATTTCTTCTGGCTTTTATCGTAAACATTTGCAGCTTAGTTTTAAGGTTTAGTGATTTATAAATATTCCCCCAAACACTTATAATAGCTTCATTTGAAAAACTTAAAATAAACTTAATACTAAAAACGCTGTTAATATAGCAAGCTTGCTTTAAGATACTTTTAAAAATACAGAAATGCTTGTTGGGATGCTATACATAATATGTATATGCACTTATATCTACATACATACATTCTATATTTACATAAAGACTGGGATACTTAAGAATAAGTTTTAGAAATAGAATGCATAACATATTTGCGGTACCGCTGGAAAGTCTTTACCTATAGTGAAAAGAATAATTAATAAAGCAATGACTTACATTTACTCACATTTTACTCACTTTTAAATTAATTAAATATTGGCCTTGCTTCCTTGCAGCACCTTCCTTTGCCGAAATCTGTTATGGCTGAGCTCCACGCTTTTCCTCAAGTTTTTCTCAAAATTAAGGCGCCCTTCTGATTTAAATACTTCTGTATAGAATTATTGAAACAGAATGGATTTTAATAAATATTTGATTGAATAAAATAACGACATTAATTCCAAGATTGTACGGATACTGATTATGCTAAATTTAAATAAGTCTAACTTAAATTAATCAAATTCAAAACAAAATCAATTAGGTCGAATTGTGTTAAAAACAGACCTAAATTGAATAGCGGCACAATCCTATATTTAGCAAAATAACTAACAAAACTACTGGATATTTCATTAGTATTACCAAATAATAAATCGTTTATCAGCGTTAATTTATTCAGGGCTTTTTTGTTTTTCCTTCCGTCGTAGTTAAAAACGATAAGAAGGTCGTCCGTCAAAAGTTTTTTGAAAACAGCATCAACGGATCCTTTCGTTCCTTTAAGCTTAAATAAATAAATTTTCTGTGAAGTATACAATATTAAATTTATGTAAGTACTTTAAAATTTTTGTAGCTAAATAATTTTACCATAGCTTCCACATATTTTGCATTTTTTAAATTTTCTTCGACATCATGGGCAGCGTCGATGCTAGAAATTGGCAATGTAGCCGCAATTTCTACCTGGAGCTCATCCTCAATCTCCCCTGTCAATCGGCATACTGAGCGATGAACTTTGGATAACATCACCTTGCACTCTCTAATTGTTTGATTTTGAGCCATTATAACACCGTCATCTAGCATCTGTGTAAATAAAAGGACTATTAGTGGAAGCATGAAAGGTTAAGCATGAAAGGTTATTTGTGAGTTATATTGTTTTCTTATGACCATAGAATTGTGCATTAGGGCTGAATGAATGATGATGAAAACAAATCTGCGATATATGTAAATCGTCGCTTGGCGCGCAATACTTCGTATCTGCCAAATGCAATGCCATGTAGGAGGTGGCATAGAAAAAGATTTATTTTTGTTACCCTGTCTCAATGCTTCCCTACTTCACAAATTTAATTGTAAATAATTATGGTATAAGCTCATATTCAGTAAGTAAATATTTAGTAAGTTTAGTTAGCAAACCATTCAAACGTTTTGAAGAAAATAAGTTTATTCGCTCTTTTGCGAAATTTTCGGGCTATTTTATACGTGGTATTGCATTTGGCGGATACGAGGTATTGCGCGCCATGCGACGAGATGAGATATAAAGCTTATACATACATACATTTTTATGAAATGAGTTTTCCAAATGGTCGAGCCTAGCCAATATTTCTTGCTGGTTTTTAATGATTTGTTCAGTGATGTTGATGGAAGCTGTAAAACAAGAATATATTTAATGAGTTGCTACAATCGGTTTAAATTAAGATGTAATACCTGCGTTGTTGTTGTTTTCCTCTTGTTCATCTGTCGCTGTTTGAACAAATTGCCTTTTTTTAAAGGGCGTGGAGGTCACAAAAGTTTTCCGGTTGGGGAACGAATATGTATGCGCTGAGAATAAATATACAATAAAATGGGAAACAATGAATGAAAATAATTTATTATCTTTACCTTCCGATGTATGAAACGAGGATTGCGGCCATTGTTGGGATTGCTCATTTGAAACCTCCTCAACCTGGGATTCGTCATCAAAATAAATTATATCTTCCATTTTTCTTGGAAAAAAGTCAGTACTTGAATGAATGAAACATTTTTATTAATAGTGTGTTATCAAAACGCAATAAGTTAAGGAATCATAATGAAATTTTTGATGCTGGTTTTGAACTTTTTTAAAGGTTGGTTTAAGAAAAACTTGACTAACTCAGCCAAAACTTTACCCATTTAGACTTATGTGGTATCATTGGAAAGATATTCTCACCCGTTCTATTTCTTTGCAAATTACCTCATTAACTCATTTTACGAAATATTTTGGTGGAAGTCTTAAAATATAATAGATTTTATAATTCCAACGGAAAATGTACAGATGTATGTACAGTGACGAGCAAAACTGTAACATGGTTTAACACTTCTTGTTTCAGCCACCGCTATATTTCCAAGTTCTAACGACTTTTATCCTTTTGTTGAATATTCTTGTTGGTACATCCCTACTCCCTCTCTCATAACGATTTGAAGTCAATAAAACAACAATAAAAAAACCAGCAGTCAAAAATGTAAATTAAGGCAGATGTTACAGTTTTGCACTCACTCTCA